GGTTCGAACGAAAAAACGCTTTTGATTCTGGGTATTTCTATATTAAACTACTTTAACAAAGCCTGAACATAAATCATTATATTTCGCCTTTAAAGTAGAAAATGTCAGTCTTTATCATCAAATTATAACGACATATCTTACTTAGAGTACGAATATATGAGGCAATGATACCGAAAAGTAAAAAATAATAATGTTGCGACCTGCCACGGACGTCGCTAGATTTTTTCTTTTCTTTTTCGAGAGTGGGTGGGGTGTTTCAGAAATTAACGATACGTATAGGTCTTGAGTCAGTATCAGTTCAGTACACGGTCAATACCAATGTTCTTGTCAGGTTGAAGAGGTCACCAGAATATAGAATTATTGGGTTACGCAGTTCTTGCGGTATTATAATTAATTTTCCGTGACCATCAAAATGCAATTGGGATTCAGCATCGACTCCTTCTCCCTGCAACGTCCATGCCAGTATACAGTTTACGTGTTTATTCCATTGTATCAAATATCTAATTGATGATTGTTCGATATTCATCAGTTAAATGTTTGTCGTGTACATTTACAGTGGACCTCGTCAGATTGTATCGTATTTGTGGAATTATGTCAGTGATTTTGTTTTGTCTAGAAAAAAAAAGTTTATCGTATTTCTGATTAACTGTGAAAATCAGGCACCAAAACGAAAACTGTCGATAATATTTTTTCTAGTGCAAAAACATTTAACTAACGTGTATTTTGAGTGGAAAGTGGAGGTATTATTTCACATAAAATATGTTCAATAATGCAATATTCACAACAAATATAAACTTTTTGCGTATAATACGTTGACAGCATAAGCCTGTAAAATTTGAATAACTTAGAAAAAAGACAACAAAAAAATCTGTTTTCGAAAAGGATAAAGTTTTAAACTGTGAAATAAGATAAATTAACTGAAACATGTGAGTATCATATACTGCTTACTTTATTATACTGTTCGTTTTACGTTATTTAATACATTTCCCCCCTCGAATCTATCTAACATGTGGTATTGTATACCATTACTTCACATATATTTTTTTTCTACATTTAATTTGCATTTTTTTGGGGGGGTAGTGTGTGACTGATATACAATTCAAAAAATTATACACATCATAAAACATTCATCTCGTGAACGTGGTACCGTCCTTAATTCATGCCATACTACTGTACGAAGGTCTATATTGATTAATTACAAGTACGTTTGTTACAGATATTTATACGCCATAGACTAAAGTTTTAACGTTCTTATTGTGATACTTAACAGTCAGTTAACTTTATTTAAAAAAAAAAATGTTTAACGACCGCAAACTGAAATTCTAGAGTTTATAACTGCATGGTTATAAAACTGTACATTGCATACGACACTATTTGTAAAACAAACTGGCATTTAATGGAAAGCTCTATTTGCAATAAATGTAGATCTTGAAGAGTGATAACATTCTGAAGTAAAAATTACCTTAAGTTAATGATTTCAAACAATTTCAGTTTTATCTCATGCAGCTATTTTGGCCCACTTTTTGTTTCTTGTTTTCTTAAATGTTCTTTGTTTATGTTGCACTAGGACAGTTTTCCCAAACTTTTGTCATCCACTTCATCCTTTAATAAATATGGTTTCTTGTGCGCCCTGTCCCCCCCCCCAGTAGGGCAACAGTAAGTCTACGGATTTACAACGCTAAAATCAGGGGTTCGATTCCCCTCGGTGGACACAGCAGATAGCCAGATGTGGCTTTGCTATGAAAAAACACCTGCGGCCCTCCAGTGGCACAGCGGTATGTCTGCGGACTTACAACGCTAGAATCCGGGTTTCGATACTCGTGGTGGGCAGAGCACAGATAGACCATTGTGTAGCTTTGTGCTTAATTACAAACAACAACAACAACAAAACACTTGTGTGCCCCTCCCCTATTTTTTTTTAATGAGTAAAAGAGCGAGTTAAGTGACGAGATGTAAAACACGGGTGCGCATTAAAATGCTACATGTGTTGTAGTAATTATTATTTTCATTAATAAAAAAAAATATTAAAACGCTTAATTTTGTATTATTGCACTATTGACTCTACCCTCTCGTTTGTGCCGTCTAGTTGCGCCCCACACTTTGGGAGACGCTGCACTAGGGTGGGGGAGATAAAGTGTTTTTGGATTTTGTTTTTACTCACATTGTACATATGAAATTTTAGAAAAAAATCTGAAAACACTTTGGCCTGTACTTTATCATAACTTTATTAACAAGAAGTATTTCGACAACTTATAATGCTACGTTTTCAATTAAATCTAATCTGTATGAGTTATTTTATTCCATTCTCACTATTCAAGAAACTTTGGACTTCAGGAAACTAACTGAAACCGATTTTCATTTTTAATATACCATGTGTGTTTGATAATTTTGTCCAGTTTGTTTCTTTTGGGACTAAGCCACATTGGGCTATCTGCTTTGTGTACCGCGGGGGAATCGAACCCCGAATTTTAGCGTAGTAAGTCCGTAGACTTACCGCTGTCCCACTGGGGGCAAATTTTTTCTGAGTCACACGATTCCGTAATTCACACACCACTTTTAGATAACACTGTTTTACATTGTATATATGTAATAAAGTAGAAATAACAAGCGTATTGTATCATGGCCAGGTGGTTAGGGCGCTCGACTCGCAATCTACGGGTCGCGGGTTCGAATCCCCGTCACACCCAACATGCTCCGCCCTTTCAGCCATGGGGGCGTTATGATATTACGGTCAATCCCACTATTCGTTGGTAAAAAGAGTAGCCCAAGAGCTGGCGGTCGGTGGTGATGACTATCTGCCTTCCTTCTAGTCTTACACTGCTAAATTAGGGACGGCTAGCGCAGATAGTCCTCTTGTAGCTTTGCGCGAAATTCAAAACAAACAAACACTCGGAAATTGTTAATACCATTATTCTAGCACTTCCTAGTGACAAAGTATGATGGGCTGTAGCCCTCCCTAGGTAAACAGTTAACAATAGAACTTTCTCAGCACTAAACTCGATAGTTTAAAGGCCTTGGGTGAACGTCATTGCAGCATATGCCGTGATTGTTGGTGTAGATATGGTAGTAAGGAATGGAGGTGTAATTTTGTTACTTGCCTTCAAATGTAATAATGAAGATAAGTTATACAAATACTTCTGTTTGTATTACGTATGTAAATATTTATGAATTTTATTGCCAGTTACATTGTGGAATCAACCGTGTAATAAAACATGGCAAACCAGTTTAATTTATGATCTTTTGTTTGCAGAGAGTTATTGAGTCGTGTTGCAGGCAGGGGCGTAGGAGGTTGGGGGAGGGGGGGGGCATATGCCTACCAATAATTTCTAAACAACAGGCTCTGTAAAACTATAATTAAATATTATTATTACTGTGTCGGTATTTTAAAGCCGAAGAAGTATTATAAATGGTAGCATTACATTTGGCTGATCTAAACACGCATAATAATATGCATTCAATTTTTTCCTACTGAAACAAGACATTAGTAATATGTGTTAATTTATGAAAACCAAACGACTATTAACTTGGTCATGAATGATGTTTTGTTTTTTTTTTGCAAGAATTGTCTATTGAAAAATTTTAAAAACTACTCGTAGGTTACTGTAAAATGTATTCTATTGTTATTTTTTTTAAATCAAATACAGATAACGGTATCATTTTAAAGTAATCGCTTAAATATATTGTTTTTGCAAATAGGTAAAGTCTAACGTGTCTGTGTTATCTTCTTGGTTGTATTTAAATATGGTATAATGAATGATGCTTGATAACATAACTGCAAAATGTTATGAACTTGGAATTTTTGTTGCCCCCCCCCCCTCAACGATACAAAAAGTATTTTTACAGCCCTGTGATAGGAAGGATGATAGAAAAAGTACCGTATTTTTCGGAATATAAGACGCACCCTTATTTTGAAGACAAAGTTTTTTGGGGGGATAAAGCTACAGTCGCATTTGAAAGATTTTTATTAAACAAAAATTCAATTTCATACTTTAAAAATTAGTATATATTGTTCTAAACACAAAAGAGCTCAAAACATCAAAATAAGAAAATACCGTAAATCAAAAAAAGGTTTACTGTTATTTAGTTTGGTTCGAAACCTACAAAATCTTCATTGCTTCCACTGTAATTTATTTTTTTATTATTTAGGGAGCATTATAAATAGTTATGTTTTAAAAGAAAAAAAACTACTACTGTTATAAATAACACATTTAATTGAACTAAACTATGCATGCATATTTAAATATATTTACACATGGCTTGTGTATATCGTGTGTGTGTATATATATATATTATTCATACCTTCGGTGTATAGGACGCATGCAGATTTTGACATCAAATTTTGGGGTAAAAAAGTGCGTCTTATACACCGAAAGATATGGTATATGATTGTTCACCTGTGTGCATCAGGACGATCCAGAAGATGCAAAAATAGAAAAATAGCAGATTTAGTAAATATATATTCAAACGAACTTAGACACATTTATTAGATTGTCATAGTTTTTCTCATGATTTTAGTTTATTTTTGCTTCTTCTAAATACGTTTCTGTCTTTATGTGTTACAAGGTTGATCTTCGTAAAAAAAAAGCAGAAAATTATTTTGAGCTACGTGGAATAGATAACTATTCGAGCTTAACTAATTTTAAAAACTAACAAGTTCGGCAAAATGCTTTCATTTTGAAGCATGAAACGATTTTTGAGGTAGCATTTTTGTAGCGTTGTGTTTTCAGTTACTGTTCCATAAAAATAAAAATAATGCACCTTATTTTTTAATTGCTTCCAGAGTAGTGTTGACATTGTATAAACCGTTTTAAATTTTACTTCTTCAACGACATTTATCTTATGCTGGCCACTCAAATGTGGTGATAAGGATAAAAGAAGAAGTCACCACTGCTTGTTGCTTCTGACGCTTTCGTACGTTTTAATGGTAAATTATTGTTTGTTCAACTCTGTAGCTCAGATATCAATGAGAATATATATAAATGTTTCATTTTATTTAACAGCCTCGCCCATCGTACAGTGCCAAGCCTCGTGGTTGGTCAACCACTGGTCTTTCAGGTCCGCCTCATTTTAGACCACAACTAACCTCTTATTTCCCGGGACGCTATCCTGTGCAGATGCCACCAGCATACGGAGCGTATTCTCATCAGCATGTAAGTTATTTTATTACGTTTATTTTGTAAGGTTTCATGTTGTTTAAGTTTTTTTTTTAAAGAGAAGCAAATGCTATGATAAATATATATACATATAC